GCATAAGCGCCTGCCTTGCAAGCAGGCAGTCGTGAGTTCGATCCCCAGTACCGATAAAAAGGAAAAACATACACACATTAAAAAAAAAAAAAAAAGATAAAAAGGGCTAGGATGTAGCTCAGTATAGAAGTAAAGTCCATTCTTTACTTTAGGGTTTACTTACTGTTTGTATTCTATGGGTTTTAAAAATGCGTGTATAGGGCTGAGGATTTAGCTCAGTGGCCTAAACGCCAACCTGGCAAGCACAAAATTGTGAGTTCGAACATGCATATGTCTACTGTTACAGTAACATGCAGAATAATTTCACCTCCTGAGAATTCTACGTGTGTCACCTATTCATCCCTCTGTTCCTCCCCAGCCCAACCAGTGATCTTTTTACTATATGTTATAGTTTATATGTAGATGTCACCTCAAAGCTTCATGTGTGCAGAGGTGGGATTTGGGTAAGGTGATTGGATCACAGGGGTGCTATAATATCTGTGAATTAGTTCACTAATAATTTTTTTTTTTTTTGAGACAGGGTCTCACTATGTAATTCAGGCTGGTCTCAAACTTGCAACGATCCTCCTGCCTCAGCCTCCCAAGTGCTGGGATTACAGGAGTGTGCCACCATACCCGGCTCCACTGGTGAATTTATAGTAAACGTAGTATTAGGAAGTGGGGTCTGGGGAGCAGAGGTGAGTACCTGGGGCATGACCTTGACAGCTCTGTCTCCCTTCCTGGCTTCTCATTGGCTCTCCACATCCTAGATGCCATGAGACAAGCAGCTTTTCTCTGCCAGACCCCTTGCCGTGCCACCTGGCGCTGGAGCCAGCAGACTATGGACTGAAATGTGAGTCAAAATAAAACTGTTCCCCCTTTCAGTTACAGGAGTTGGATATTTTATCGCCAAAACAAGAAAAGTAACTAAGGCACTGTCTCAGTAGTTTTGAGTTTTCCAGAATGTCTCGCAACTGGAATCAAACAGTTTGAGACTTTTTCAGAATCACTTTTTTTTAAAAAATTTAAGAGGAAAAAAGACACAGAAAAGAAAAACAAAAAACAAAAGAGACAAACAAACAACAACAAACCCAAAGCCATAACAGTATAGGTTTACAAAACAAGATGATAGGAACTTGACAATGGTTGTAATATTGCAGGTCGTTACCTTTAAAAGGGTTGCTTAGATTACCAGATATAGACATGCAAACTTGATCTATTCATATGAGTACTAACTATTCTTTTCCAAAAACTAATAATTAGTAGTACAGTCATCTGAGCTACCTCATGTATACACACACAAATTTAAGTCTTTTCCTTTCCCTTCCTCCTTCCCTGTTTTCCCTACCCCAGTTACTTTTTCCCTTTGAGCAGTTTCTTACTCTTACACAGTGTTTATTGCAGACTTTGGATTGTATTTGCTCTTTAAGTGTCTTATACTAGGGAGACAATAGGAAACCTAGAATAGCAAAGGCAATTCTAAGCAGCAAAGGCAAGGCAGGAAGCATCACAATTCCTCACTTGAAATTACACTACAAAGATACTATGATAAAATCAGCATGGTACTAGAATAAAAACAGACCTGAAGATCAGTGGAATAGATGAGAAGATACAGCCACAACTGCAAACACACTCAGACACCTCATCTTTGAATAATTTCACCTCCTGAGAATTCTACGTGTGTCACCTATTCAGCCCTCTGTTCACGGGAAGGAAGATAGTTTCTCTAATTAGTGGTACTGGGAAAACTGACTTTTCATATGCTGAAAACTAAAACTAGACTCATGTCTATCACTATGCACTAAAGTAAAAAGGGATGAGAATCACTTTTTTCACTTAATAATGGGCATTTAAGTTTCCACTGTGTTTTCATGCTGCATAGTGCATTTCTTTTTAGTGTTATATAACACGCCATTGTGTGGATCTATCACAGTTCATTTACCCATTCACCCACTGACGAACATCTTGGTCGCTTCCAAGTTTTGGAAGTTATAAATAAAGCTGCTACAAACATCCATGTGCAAGGTTCTTGTGGACATAAGTTTTAAATTAAGTCAAGCAAGTACAAAGGAAAATCACTATTGAATCATATGGTAAGGGCCTGTTTTGCTCCTTCCAAAGTAGCTGATCATTTTTAAAACCATTTTACATTCCCACAAGCAATGAATGAGAGTTTCTATTGATCCATATTTACACCAGCAGAGTTTGAGATTTTGACTAAATAACAGTTGTGACGTGATACCATTGTTATTTGAATGTTTTTTAGAGACAGGGTCTTGCTATATAGTCCAGGCTCACCTCAAACCTGCAATCCCGCTCAGCCTCCTGAGTGCTATGGCACCACGCCCAGTGTTTTTTGTTTTTTTTTTCCTCCCAGTTTTACATTGTGTTGCTTGCTTTTATATTGTTGAGGGCTGTTTGTTGTTTTGGGATTTTTGTTTGTTTGTTGGTGTGAGACAGGGGTTCACTCTGTAGTCTTGAACTCACTATTTGGGTGAGGCTGGCCTTGAACTCAAAGTGAGCCTCCTGTCTCAGCCTCCTGAGTGTTGTGATTACAAGTGTGTGCCACCACTGCCAGCTGCTTTATATTTTAAAAATGAGATTGTGTTATGCCTGTTAATCTCTATCTTGCTTTACATTGTAGAAATCCTTCCTAATCAACTGGTATAGATCTAACTTTCTTTGTTATGGCTGTATAATATTTCATGACATATAGGAGTTCACAGTTTATCAAATATTTTCTGTGAATGGTTATTCTCCTTGCACCTAGCTTTTAGCCACAAACAGTGCCACAGTGTCCACCCTTGTGCTTACATCTTCGTACACTGGCACTTTTATTTTTTTTCCCTTTTTTCTGGTACCGGGGATCGAACTCACAACCACCTGCTTGCAAGGCAGGTGCTTATGCTGCTGAGCTAAATCCCCAGCCCTAACTTATTATCCAGTCACCTTGGGTGAATCACCCGATCTCTGTACCACAGGTTCTTCGTTGTTCCCTATAAAACAGACAGAATAATACTAACTCAAGGGGTTATTAAAAGAATTAAATGATAATATTTTATTGTGCATGGAGCAGAATCTGGCACAAAGTACATACTCAATAATGTTATTGGGGTTTTTTGTTTTTTGTTTTTTGGTCTTTTTTTTTTTTTTTTAAGACAGGGTCTCACTATGCAGTTCAGTCTACCCTTGAGCTCACTTTGTAGCCAGGGCTGACCTTGAACTCACATCAATCCTTCTGCCTCAGTCTCCTGAGTGCTTGGATTACAGGCATGCACCACCATGCCTTGCTTTCAATAATGTTATTGTATTGTTATGAGATAAATGCCTAGCAGTGGCTTGCTTGATTGGAGGGCACATGCATTTCAATTTTTTTTTTTTTTTTTTTGAGGCAGGTCTCACTATTTTTTTCGGTTAACCTCAGACTCTTAGGATCAAGCCCCCACCTCAGTCTTTCGAATAGCTGGAACTAAAAGGATGCACCACCACAACTTGGCCTGGGATGAAACAGTCTTCAAGGATGCTGGGCAATGCCCTTACCACTAAGTGAGGCCCAGATACATGTGTCGCTTGGTTTTGCTTTGGATTTTTCAGTACTCCTTAAGCACAGTTAACCCTCATTACAGATCTGAGTGACAACTTACAATTTTCACATTTTTTATAACTGAAAAGTCCCGTACTATGGCTGGGTTCTAAAAAATAGTAAGTCTCCTTGGATTTGATCCCTGCCACTGTATGTGGGGGGTATGGATTTCAAAGATCGTAAGAAATTACTTCATCAGTGAACTATTGAGGGTTCTGTTTGTTTGTAGACAGGGTTTGGCTTTGCAGGTCAAATTGGCCTTGACCCCACTATGGAGCCTAGATATGCTGGGATTACAGGCGTGCATCACCCCACCCAGCAGATGCTGAGTATTAAAATTGAGGAAATGCAGTGTTCTATGGATTTATCCCAGGAGAATAATTCAGGTGGTTTCTTTTGTCAGTAGATTTCTGGGTTACCTCTTTATAACCATCATTTGATTTCCTAAAAACAAATTCTTTTCAGTAAAACATTTCCTGAGTCCTTACTAGCGTACTGTACATGTGTGAATATCTGCAAGAGAGTTCTAAGGTAAACCAACGTAAAAATCATTTTTTATCACTACAAATTTGTTTTTGGATACATATGCCCGAGCTAACAGAATCTACTTAGTATCTCTTGACAACATAGGTGATGAGAAAAATTAACGTCTTGATCTTTAGGCTCCCAGGGTCTTACAGTATGGTTAATAGGGTTTGTCAGCAAAATAGGAATCTCTCCTTCAGCCTCAGAGTTCTGGAAGACTCTGCCTGTTCATCAACGTCGGTCTGCAAGAATTCTACCCCTCCTTAGAGTCAGCCGAGGTGCTGCTCCACCAAACGTTGCACTACTAAAAACCGAGCACGTCTTTTGCTTCTCCTCTCTGCTATCACAAATCCTGCATTTATTTGGCTGTTAGTATATATTACTGTCAATATCGTTTTCGTATGTCAAACTGCATGGCTCTTTAAGGAAGGCTGGGGCTCGCCATCTCTCTATTGTACCCCCTTCAGAGGCGGCCGCCCACAATTACCAGCCATCGCAGAAACATGTTCCACTCCTGGATGTATGGGACTGCCTCGATAACCTTGGGTTCCTATTTCCCTCCCACTTTCAGCAATCCAGTTTATTCTATGGGTGGAGAAGGAAGCCAGGTCGGCTGGGTGAGAAGGAATGGCGTCAGTGTGAGGTCACGGTACATTGTCCCGAGTGCCACGGAGGGGGCGTCCATCACCCCGCAGTGACAGGAACGCAGGGTTCAGGGATGCAGCTGTAGGAAAGACAGAGGCCCAAGAAGCATACAGTACAGGCAGAAGGGGGACGGGAGAGAGGACAAAGCAGGGAGCCCAGCGAGACGCAGCCGGACTGCAGAGCTCCAGCAGAGAGCGCCGGCCGAGAGTGAAAGTGAACAGCCGGAGGCGGGGCGGAGGCCTGCGGGCGGGGGCGGGACTTCCGGAAGCCATTTGCCTGAGTGGCAGGGGAACCGGAAGTGGAGGAGCTGCTGCTGGTGCTGGGGCCGGAGGAGGGACGCGCTGGAGCGGGGCCGCCGGGACTGAGCGAGCGACACACGCGCCACCCGCCGACTCCGCAGCCGCTTGGGGCCCGCCTGGACCCGCTACCTGAGTGAGTGCACTCAGGGTTGCGGGAACCCAGAGCTTAGGGGTGGGGACGGGAACGGGCAGCGAGATGTTATTGTGAGAGGCCCGCGGCCTCCCCTCCCCCACGCAGCCGGCCCCTCCCCCGCGCCATCACCCCCGCGGGCCCGTGGGGGGCCGCGCGCGCTCCAGCGACCCGGCGTTGGCCCCTCCCGCCCCGGCCGCCCGCCCGCCTTCCGCGTGGCTTTCCCAGCACCCCAACCCCGTACCTGTCGAGTTTTCTCAACCGCTGGCGGGTGCCTGCATCCCGTCTCTCTTGTGGAGGAGGAGTAGCGCGGCGGGGCGCAGCGCCCTGCCCACCCCTACACTAGGCCTCGGTGCACCTCATCCCTCGAGGCCTGTCGCTCTCTGCTGGAGGCGCTTTTCCAGCCTCCAGGCTCCCTTTCCTCTGTGTTACTAGGGTGGAACCTCTGACCCTTCTCTCCACCCGGCCCCTGCCGGATGCCGAAACGATTTACGTGTGTGTGTGTGTGTGTGTGTGTTGTGTGTGTGTGTGATCAATTACGTTTCCCCAGCCTCATTTGTTGAAATACTTGCATTCTTTAGAAACTTCTGTGTTGCCTCCTCTAATGTAGTCCAAAGATCCAGGTCATGACTCATAAGGGTTTCTTAGAAGGTTATGCAGTCCAGCACCTCCTTTCAGAGGTGAGGCCTAGAGACATTGGTGATTTGTCCAAACTCAGCCAGCTAGTTAAATCTGTCAGTGCCTAGATAGGTTATCTGGGGTGGTTTTGTTTTGTTTTATTTGGTCCACTTCCATTTACCAGATCAGAGCCTTGCGGTCTACAGGTTTGATTGAGTCCGTTGTGAGGTGACTCATTATTCTGCTTTCTGTAGCTGCCGGGTCGGTGTTGCTTTATATTATAATTTATGTGAATCTAAAGAAAATTCAATACTTAAAGCTTTGGCCCTTCATAATATAGAGTTTGCCATGGAAAAAGAAAGAGCATCTTGCTGGCCTTGATGGTGCGTGCCTGTAATCCCAGCACTCGGGAGGCAAAGAGAGGAGGATCGTTGCGAGTTCAAGACCAGTTTAAGACATAGTGAGCCCAAGGCCAGCCCGAACTGCATAGTGAGGCCCTGTCTCAAAAAGAAAACACAAAGGAAAAAGACCAAAAAAAAAAAAAAAAAAAAAAGCACCTGGACCCACAACATGATTTCACACAGTTTTAATTGGGGGAGAGGTTGGAGGAGAGGTAAATGTGTAGAGAATGAGAAAAGAGAAAATGCAGAAAATTCTTTGCCTTGCATGCGCCTTGTATCTTTAGGTTCTTGGGCACATTCATTGTTCAGACACAAAGGTTGCCTCCTTGTGGAGGAACTGGGAAGGAAATCATTGTGCATTAATTTGTTGGCCAGGGCATTGGATAATAAATTATGGATGCGCTGAAACTTAGGGATCCTCCCGCCAATCACTGAGGCAGGGTATTGTGGCCGAGGCTTGTCTCGGAATACCCTGTCAACTCCTACCGAAACAGATTGAAGAGGCGCAGGCCTAGAAGAAGTATTCTAAATCTTCATAGTTAAACTTTCTCCCTCCATCTGTTTTATGGCTCAGACTAACGAAAAATCCAGTTTGAGAATTTTTTTTTTTTTTTTTTGCAAGGCAGGATGTCACTATGCAGTTCAAGCTGGCATTGCAGCCCAGGCTGGTCTCGAACTCACAAGATCTTCCTGCCTCAGCCTCCCAAGTGCTGAGATTATAGGCATGCACTAGCATGCCTGTCTCATTTTTTTTTTTTTTTTGGTCTTTTTCATTTTTTATCGGTACCGGGGATCAAACCCACGACCGCCTGCTTGCAAAGCTGGTGCTTATGCCGCTGAGGTAAATCCCCAGCCCTGTGTGTCTCTTTTTTTTTTTTTGTCTTTTCCCTTTTTACTGGTACAAGGGATGGAACTCACGACTGCCTGCTTGCAAGGCAGGCACTTACGCCGCTGAGCTAAATCCCCAGCCCCCGTGTGTCTCATTTTGAGAGTTTATAATTCTTTGCTGGAACTGGTTTCAGCACTGTGCTGGTGGAAGTATATGGAAATTCTAGTGCATTGTGGTAATCCAAGTTAAATAGAGAAGATAGAAAGTGCAGGGAATTGTGCAAGTTGCTTACTCTTCATCTTCCAGAGAACTCGTTTTTATGGACAACTAAAGTTTTTTTGTAATGTAGTTCTTGTGGTAAATTAATTTTTGTTCTTCCCACCTTTTAACTCCATTTTGCTGGGCTTCCTAACTGAGCCTGCTGTTTGTGATCGCAGAAATTAATGACTTGCTGCATTGGGAGATGATTTGAATCAGTAAGGTAAGATGAAAGTCAGATCCCTTTCTGTTGGTTGGTTATTTGTGGTAGTAGGAATTGAACCCAGGACTTCCTGTGCTAGGCTAGTATGCAAGTGTGCTGCTGCTGAGCTGTATTCCTAGATCGCCTCCCCACAAGTTCTGGTTTTTTAAGTCTCTTTTCCGCTGTCTTTTGTTTCCCTTCCCATTTGAAAAGTATCTCCCTACTTCTATTACTGTCTTTTATTTTGCTCCTTGTTTATACTTTACATTTCTCATGTTCGAGAAACCATGAGACATTTAAATTTGTGTCTGATTTATTCACTTAACATTATGGTCTTTTTTTTTTTAATCAGTACTGAGGATCGAACTCATGACCATGTGCTTGCAAGGCAGGCGCTTATGCCTCTGAGCTAAATCCCCAGCCCCAACATTATGGTCTTGAGGTGTATCTGTTTACCTACAGATATCCTTCTTTATGACAGAGTAATACTCCGTTGTGTATAGCTACTGTTTCTTTATCCATTCATCTGACAATGGAGATACAGTCCATTTTCAAGATGTAGGTAATATAATTGTGCTGCTGTAAAGAGATATACATGTATTACTGGAATGTGATGAGTCTTTCAGAAGGATGCCGAGAAGTGGAATAGCGCTTCTATTCTAGGCTCAGTTGGAATTTCTGGTTTTAGTTTTTCGAGGAATCTCCATACCAATCTCCGTAGTGGTTGTGCTAGTTTACATTCCCACCCACCAAGCAGAAGAGTTCCTCCGCCTGCCCCTGTGCAGCTTTGTCAGCACTTGTTATTTGATTTTTTGATGGTAGCCATTCCTTCCGGAGTAAGACGGAATCTTGGTGGTGTTTCGATCTGCATTCCTCTAGTGGCCAGAGATATTGAACATTGTTTTACTTGTATATTGACCCTCTATACTTCTCAGAAGTGTCTTTCATTTCACCTGATCATTTTTTGATTGGGTCTTTCATTTTGGAGTAGTTCTTTTCTTTTTGAGACGTGGTCTTTTCTTTTTTTGAGATGTGCTCTGTAGGCAAACCTGTGGCCCACTGGTCACCGCCTCAGTGGATATACAAGCCCTCCCTGTTGGTGCACAAGCCAGGTCACTCCAGCGTTGTGTGACAGTTGTTTTTCCTAAACTGAAACCTCAGAATTCAGGTTTAATTGCAGTATTGGCAATTAATGTGATAAATAAGTGGGCTTTGGGTTACACTTTGGGCATGTGGTCTCTATAAGGTTTGCTAGGCAGTTCAGGCCAGCATTGAACTCACTTTGTAACCCTAGCTGGCCTCAAAGTCATGCCAGTCCTCCTGCCTCAACCTCTCTCGAGTGCTGGAAACACTCAGGAGTATACCACCACCCCCACCTGAGGGCTCTAGCCCTTGGGACAGAAGACTGATTTTGTCATCAAGGTACATAAACATGGGTCTGTTAGACCCATGTTTATTCTTTAGAATATTTGTATTGCTGAATTATTAATTTTATGAGTTTTATTGTATTAATGCATACTTAACAGGAAAAAGGATCACAAACATAAAAGCATTGAATTTTTAACGTTTATTGTTTATAAGATGTAACTTTTCAGTATCAGCTGTTTTTTGGTGTTCTAAGTATAAAAAAAAAAAACTCAAATTTTTATATGAACTGTAGTGAAAATACCAAAAACACTTTAACAGAGAAAATAATCTGCAGTTATATCTAAGGCAGTCTGCACACGACAGCAGCACATTCTGTACACACGTATCACTTACACAGACAGCATGTGTGTGTTGCTTTCCTGGCCTTTTGTAGGGACATACTTGACATCTCAGTGGTCTTACTGTTTTGTCAGGAAGTTCTTATTTTACTGTAAAATTAACAGGAATATAAACTAGCAATAAAATAAGGTACTAAATTCTTAATATGTATTATGTGTTTAAACATCAACATTTCATATCCCTTGTGTAATTGCTTATAAAACCTAGAAGGTAACATCAGAAATAAATTCCTACATGAACTATAGTGAAAATACCAATAAAGCTCTACCACACAAATAAGTGTTGCTTCAGTTGTCACACCCAAGGCAGTTTTTACACATGCCAGCTGTATGTTCCATGCACACGTGGCTTACACTGACAGCACGTGTGCTTTCCTATGTGGCATCTTGTCACTTTGCTTCCTCTTTTGTCAGGACCTTCCTATTATATTGTACAACATGCACTTAGGAAAATAAGATACCAATAAAATAAAATACTAGATATGTAATGAGTGCTTAGACTATACAGCAGCATTTTCGCATCAGCTGTCTACTTTCTTGCAAAAGCTAAAAGATAACATTAAGAATGCAAATCTATAAATTACAATGTAGGCACAAACAAAAGTCTACCACCAGGGCAGTGTTCACACCCAAGGCAGTCTTCACATGTGACAACTGCATTTTGTACACAAGTATTGCTTACACTGATAGTGTGTCCGTTTGTTTTCCTGTACTTTCTTGCAGGCTGCAGCTGACATTTTTGTTTTCCTGTTGTAGATCGTTGTGATGCCTGCCTGTTTCCTGTCCTCTCATCAGTGAGCGCCACAATTTTTTTGCATAGCTCCCTGGAAGACACATTTTTTTTTGTCTTTTTCATTTTTATCGGTACTGGGGATCGAACTCACGACTGCCTGCTTGCAAGGCAGGCACTTATGCCGCTGAGCTAAATCCCCAGCCCCCCACATTTTATTTTTCCTCGCTGTAAATGATATTTTAGGAGCTCCAGTCTCAATCCTCTGAGAAAATTTCTCTGTGGTATTAGGTACTTCTTATTTTCTTTGTAAACTACAAAACTTATAGCAGGCATGTTTAAGATGGAGTAAAACAGCCATTGATCAATGCTTTGTGTTCCAAGTGACAAAGTTAGCGTGTAACTATTCAGCAACCTCTATTCTGCCTTTGGTTTTGTTGTTGAAATTTTCTATCTGAGGCTTCCTTTTTTTGTCCAGGTTTTCCTATCAGTATTTCTATTGTTCTGTTTTCTTTGTGATATAGGAGGCCAATGTTATATCTTTCTGATATCCAAAGATTGTAGTGTATATTTGTTTGTTTTGAAATGACAACATTTCATATGGAATTTCTGCTTTGTTCCTGGGCACAGGTCCTGCACTGGTCAACTTGCATTCTGTTAGCAAATGTAACAAATGTAACATCAGTTGGAAACCAGTAAACCAATTGTCAAATGTCACATTCTTTTTTTTTTTTTTCCCTTTTGGTCACATTCTGATTAGTTTGGGAGATAGGAGCAACAAGTCTGTGCACATCGTCATTCTGTTTATTACTGTATGAAAAAGGACC